GGCCCGGCCCTTCCCACTTGACTCATTCCCTTGCTCAGGCAATGGCTCAGTACGCAATATGGGAACGCCAAATCGTTGCGCTTGTTGATGGTCTGGGGGCCTGAGAACCACGAATCCAGCAGCTCGCGGCTGACGCGGTTATCACCTCTTGTGAGGATTTCGGCCTCGTCAAACTTGATTGATTTTCTAACGGAATCGATCGTCTACCATTAGTTACGCCAATTTTCCGGAAGGAATTTTAGAATATAGAGACTTTATATGCTGCCTCACCGGCCTAATGCAAAGATACCTCGCAACAACTATGAAAATTGCTTGAAACTGGGACATAGTTTCGATAAGTAATTTAACCACAAGCTTTCAAAACAAAATTGTATGGCATTTCACAAAATAAGCTTCCAGTGAGTGCGTTTCTACAAAATATGTGCGTCTTTGTTACTGATGTTTATTAAAAATGCGTAATGTGACACTAGCATGCATTACTTGAGTTACTTCGTTGGAAAACGTAAAAGTCGGAAAAGTTAAAACTGCCTGCGTAAAGTTGCAATACGTTTTCCCCACATTATTGTTTCGCTCTTCAGAAAGTAATAAGAAATACCGAAGGTACTGCTCAATACTTTTGAGTAAATAGCCTTGATGGTAAGTTGCCAGCCTGATCAGTATTGCAACACTAAACTCTCCCGCGCATCCACCCCAAAAAGTGTACCGTTCGCTTCTTGGGAGAGATATCGTTTTTTTAAAATATTCAACTATCTGAAACAGGCATAGAGGGTAAAAAGCGCTGCTGTAGAAACAGGGTCTGCATAAATTATGAATATTCGTGGTATTGGTTCGTGCCTCTCTTCCCCATCGGCTTAGCTGCCAACATAATTGTATTCCAGGTAGAAAACCACTACCGAAAAAGACAAGGAAACTTGGAATGACCATCTATGGCTTGCATTGACGAGGTCGTTGGTGGTAATACCGGAGGATATTTATCGGCCAGTGCACGAAGGTAGTGACCGTAGACGGGTGTTGCCCACTACATTCGAAGTTTGGACGGCCAGTATCTCCAGATTCTTACGCTTATACTCAAGCACAATTAGAAGCTGAGACCGACCACCGATTCGGAACATTTGCATCGAGGGCGTGGCTGGTAAAATAGAGTTCAAATAGGAGAGGTGCCAGTTCACTACGCTCGGCTTCTGGACGGCCAATTCTTAGATTTCGCTATACATTCGGCAAGCTAGCTTTTAATTCGAATGTCGTTCGCGTGACGTCGACCGTGTGGTTAATTTAATGAGTGCAGAACTGCGACTTGTGTTCAGTTCAGTTCAGTGTGTGTGTATTTGCGTAACAGACTCGCACAGAGGCTACTGCACCAGCTCCCCTCTCGTTCACCTTGCTCCAACAGTAACACCATGTTAAGACGATCATACTTAGGTTCGCGCGCTGCGGCTGACAAAGTTAAACGGCATATCTACGCGCGCCACACACGAACCGTTTCACAACTCAGGTGGTGAATTGGAGTTCACATCAGTAAGCGTCATAGAGGGCTCATTTAAAAGGAGCCGCGACAGCCTTATTCTCAGCTCTGCAAAACACCGAGTCATTCTGTTGGTTAGTAACCTTCCGAGTCGCGAAACACAGAGCATATTGATATCTTCGAACTTGTTATTATATTGAGAAGAGTGCCGATCTGCTGGGACGATGAACTCCACAGTCTTCTCTGTGACACCTGCCGGTGGAATCTCCGGTCCCATTGAGCCGAGCGTGATAGGAGTAGGCACGATGGCTAAGGCAACGTAGAAGCCTACGTCTAGACATGTCAGCATACTGCCAACGTCTGAGTTCGAACAGATTGTGTGTTGCCGGATTAACGCCGGTTAGGAGTCGGAATTTGACTCCGTTCTGAGCCAGTGAATCTGCAACCCAGTTCTGTTTGAGAGTCAGGGCTTCTGCAAATCCAACTTCCGTAGCGTGTTCTCATTCGAACGGGGTCTCAAAACACGCAATGAGTCGAAATATAGACGAGTTAACATCTGATCTGATTGGATTAAAATCACGCATCTGGTTAGTAGGAAACCAAAGAAAGAGCTGGAAAGGTGATTCTACCAAATGCACACGCTAATTAGTCTCGTCCTGTAAGGATAAGTAACCGAAAAAAAGTTTGACTGAATGACTTTTCCTGAGCGGTGTGGTTTCGCATTTTTGGAAACACGCAAAAGCGGACACCTCAATGGATATACATGCGAGCGCACGCATCTGCGCATCCATCTAGAGGCACATTCAAAATACCTTCCGGTCTGTTTAGCATGATTCAGCTGAAGAAAAAAGCATAAAGGCATCCGACCATTTAGGGGGGGGGACGATGGGGTTGGCAAGATTGTGGGTAGTTCTTCAGGTTGCTTGCGTGGGATATTTCTCAGGCAGCAGAGGAAAAACTTTCCTGAGTGATGCATGCGAAGTCAGAAATGCAGGGAGAATGGCCAACTGCTCCGACTTGGGAGCCTATAAAGTGGTCGTTTGCCCAACGAGCTAGTTATCCCGTTGTGTGCACCACGGAAAGCATTTTTATAAACTTTGCACTACAACTTGAAAATTAAACTGCTATCTTGTTCTTTTGCGCGAAATTTTTACCCTCTGAATGTCTTCTCTCGCTATAGTAACCCATCCATCAGATGCACTATATGTACCGTTTTAGTGCTTTCCTAAAGGATATTCTTGCTTATTTATGCCCGTAGAAAAATGTGGAACAGTAACGATGCTCTTTCATCTGCCCGAATTTTCTCACACTTTTGCTGGTGTAAGTCATCCGACCTTTCTTACAAACTGTGTGGCGCTTAGACCAACAAACTACAGACACCCCTCGTTGCAGCTACAAGACCTCCCGCAAGCAATTTTTGTTTATAAGAAGACAGTTCCAGTGGCAAGAATTATGATAAACACCGTTACCCCCGGAACGATGGGTGTCCAGGGGAGACGAGCCTTGTCCGTTGGCCTAGTTACAGGCTATCTAGGGCGTCCATAGAGGACGGATATTGGGTCGCCCTTAATCGAAGGCTAGCTGCGAAACAAGGAGGGGGATTTAAGGTCTAAAGGTCCCGGACCATGCAACGATAATGACCCCAGGCATGGTCCGACACAGTGGGGCACAACCCGCAACTTTAAAATGGGGAACCGAAGGGGTAGATGGAGACTTCGATTAGATATAATCTTTCATTTAAATCAGCCAGCAACACCGCTGTCCACGGACATACGACGCAACCAAATTTCGGTTGAAAGGGCAGTTCCTGCGGGATAAAGTCGAAGGCACCCATCACCATCGCTACACCAACATCCAGCAGAATCAAAACTGTTATCGTACACATTCTCAACAGTTGTACCGTCGCAAGCGGTGACACGCACCGCTTACACACTAGGTGGGTCCAATGACAACAAAAATAATTTAAAAAAATCTTGGAAGCTATTGTGAACTAAGTCTGGACTAGTAAGACTTATAAGAGCGGTGAAAATATAGGGGAATACTCGTTGCGCCTTCCTGAGGAGACAGTATTCAGCAGATGAGCCATGAACACAGTGAAGAAGATTAATTAAAACGTGTAAGAAAAGAAGATGGCTGTCTGGCTGCGATAGTGGACTGGTGCATTGAAGAGAGAGAGAGAGAGAGAGCGAGGTTGCCCCCAGGACTCCAGTCAAATGACGCACCGGATCCTTCCTCGCTATAATATATCTGACACAGCGTTCATCGAGGCTGCGAGTTTTTCACAATTGGTGCAAGTGAATTATTCAAATCTGCCAAACCCTCTTAGTAATTAAGTGAGCCTAGTAGTTATTCTGGTGGATTCTAGGTGATTGCATAGGAAATCCTGCCTGGGCAGTCAGCTTACTGGTGGATTCCATACGAGCAGCAGTAGGCTGGGCG